ACACGAAAATGACTTGAATGTCATTACGAAGAATTACAGACACAATTCATGTAATACATCTGAACATAAAGCACTTACAAAGTTTAAGAATTTGATTCATCTGACAAGGTTCACAAAAAATGAATGATATAGATTTGAAAACGAGTCATACTCATTATGGAGATATTTGACATGAAATATATATATCTTGGTCATAAAATACTAATAGGACTACTATGTATTAAGTGATACAACTGATGGATTTCAAGCTTCCCAATTGCCACCATGCTCTTTAGGAATACTACTCATCACTATCACTATCACAACTGAAAAATGATCACTGAATGAGCTTAGGGAGAAAGATCATAAGCACGATTCATTTAAGAAATCTGATATAAGGATATGCATGACATAACATTATTTCATTAGCCATTGAGTGTAAATCATGAATTCGTGAGACTGAGCATATTATGAGACATGAGTGCTTATATAAATAGATTCATATCATGAGACTGATATTCATAATTTTATAGAGTAAGGTTGAGATCAATGGGCTAAAGTCTCGACCTCTTATTCTGAGAATTGAACATAGATGTGAATCTGTCTAAAGTGTATGATTATAGGTCATGGACATAATGTTGATATGCAAGACATTAACAGGGTGTTATAATGACTAATATTTGAGGAATACGCTAGAGTACGAGTGGATTGACATATCACTTTAATTCTACTGGAACACATCACTTTCTGATTGTTTAACACTTGACTTGGTTCCTCATCTTATCATCTACCCTTTAGGTCTGAAACTGACACTTTAAGGCTATGGACCTATTTTGTCATCTCTAAACTAGTCTATATTCGCTTTACTCTAATACCGGGAAATGATAATCGCATGGCTACTGAACTCTCCATGTATAGTAACTAAGATTCCTTCTTAGTCTTCTTTGTGAGATGTTTCTCTTAACCTCTTCCCGCTTCTATATAAGTCTTTCTATAATATTATTACCCACATTGACCTATAAAGCTGCTTAATCTAACTATTAATAGTCTGATTTCTCTTTCTTAGCCCACTAACACTGTCCTTCTAAGTTCATATGAGGAAACTTGAACATTATTTAAGTGGCTTATCGTTGGCTATATATGATCCCTTTGACCATACTCTTAAGGGTAATAAATAATGCTTAGATCAGTCTACTCCACATTGACAAATCAAATATACTATTGAGACAAACATGAAACATCATTAACTTAATTAGAATTTTGTCTGACTACATAAAATCTTGGGTACACCTCTTAATGCTCTCGTTAGTCTAATAACTAAGTCAGACTTCATTACTCTCATATAAGGGTCATGATACCACGCTTGTACCACTCACATTTATTGCAAAGTAACACCTTAATCCCTTACCTATTTTATGTCAAACCTACTAGACCATATCTCAAAACTAACATTTTCACCCTCATGTTACCATCTTTTTTATCACGACACTCATCTCAAATTCAAGCTTGGTGTCTAGTACTAAACACATATATCATTATAATGGCTCACATATTATACTAACTTACAATTACTAGGTGAAATTAAGAAAAGACCTCATGATAAGTAGTCAATATTTATCTCTCAGTCTACCTAGTTACATATTTTCATCACATTCCTTTTCAAAACCTAAGTACTATTTACTCATTCACTATACATCATTGCCTAATTAGTTCTATATCACTATTAATATCATAGGGCTCTCCTTTAGAAGTTATAAGTTTGGCTTAGATATATCACCTCATGACTACTTTGTCCTTCTATTAAACACTTATACTTGATTTTCACTAACACAATGACACATCAACATAAACTCATTTCTAGTTAAAGTATACTCTAACTCATCCTAACCAGTAACTATTCCTTTAACTTCTATCATGAAATCCATATAAAATTATTATTCCTTAGCCTACATATAAAGGGAAAACTCCACATTAATGACTTACTAGGTATGTGACAACGACTCCACACTTTACTCAATAACTATCTCCATTTCTTAGGTTATTACACTTCTAAATATATATACTTCTAACTTTAGACACTTATACTATTAATGGTTCATAATATCGCAAATCACATTATCTTTCGAGCAACAACACTATCCAAGCTCTTTAAAACACACTTCCCTCTTAAAGGGATTCACCTGAAACAAGGTTTAGAGAAGAGAATTTGAGAGCATATCTTTGTTTTTAGCTCGAACGCACGATTTATATGAATAAGTGTGCATTTTTTCGAATAAATACACTTAAGCATACTGATGGGCTTCTCTCAAGCCTAGCTGCAGTCTCTTGACTTTCTAAAGAGTTTATCTGAGAGTAATCATCGATAATGATTTGGGCTTTGATATTTCAACCAACTTGAGTATGAAGGATAGTCGAATGGATTCGAGAAATGCACGAGTTTGAATAACTTTCTTATGACACAATTCTATTGCACAATCTAGAGTATGAAAGAATGAGAAACATCTCCTAAATGCGATGTAGCCTTATGATAATAAGTGTAGTGCTCAACATATCCATAAGCAAAACTATACTAGACACAACTTCATAGACACCCTAAGACACTTGAACTCTCTACTCTGATAACAAGTTTGTCACGCCCCGAGCTTATACCCGGACATGGCCAACACTCAAAACCATTGTTCGTCTCAAGCGAACTCTTGGCATGACTGACTACAGAGAGGAAAACTATACATACATGCGAAAGCCTTATAATGTAGACAATATCATTAGTGGGTTGGGCCGTTACAAAATGGTATCAAAATCACTCCTCTATTAGCCTTGTCGATGTGGACCAGAGTTCAATTAAGTTTAGGAAAATCTCGATAAGACAGGTTAAATCTCAGTGTTGAGTCTTGGCGAATCCCATACGGTGGGGCAAACCTCAACGAGGACGCTAAGTTTATGGAGGGGGGTGTATGTGACAACCCATGTTAAGATTAGAATTCTTACATCAACAAAACATAGGAGATATGTTATGTATATATGTAAGCAGACATTACCAATTAGTGATGCGTTTTTAAGTCGTGTGGGCGTAGGCCCAAAATGGACAATATCACTAGTGGGTTGGGCCATTACATTTGGTTGGTCATGTAATTATTTGGTCAGCATGTAATTAGGTGTAATTAGGGGTAATTAGTATGGGGTAATTACACTCTCCAATTCTCAGTGAGGGACTATGAAGTGTTGTTATTATTTTTATTTTCTGATTTAATTCAATCTTAAATTCTACTTATTTTAAATTCTTTTTTATTTTTATCATTCTAAAAATGTCTTTTTTATTTTATACTATTTATATTTTATTTCCTTCTCATTCTTAGCATTTACTTCTTGTGATTCCATGTGATTTCTCCTATTATCTATTTTATTTATTTATTTATTTATTTTATTAGCATAATTGTGTTTGTATTCTAATTTTTAAATTGAAGGAAAATTCTTGTTAAATAAGGTTATATATTTACGTTTTTATGTTCTTTTAAATCACATTTATTTACGTTATGTGGAAATTTGACATAAGAATATTACATTAAATTTCTTTTCGAATTTAGAACTTATGTTATATTTTCAATTATTGACTTGATATTTCATATTGCAAATCATTTATTTTTTAGTTAGACTTGATAGTTATCTTTTTATCAAATATTTTCATAATTTATGACATTAAATTTATAATATTAATCTTTTATAAACATATTTTATATAACATTCATAGAAATCGGATAATTTATTTTATTATTAATTTAAGGGAAAAGGGTCAAAATTACCCCTCAACTTTGTTTTATTGGTTGACTTTACCCTTACCGTTAAAAGCAAGTTATTTTTACCCATGTCGTTAATAAACTTAATAAATATACCCCTCCTTGGAGGGAAACCCCCAAATCAATTGAAATTACTCAATTTTAATTGAAATTATCCAATTTCTTTTTTAACCCGAACCAGAACCCAACCCACTAAACTAATCAAATTAACCGATTTCCAATCTTCTTCATCTCAGTGTTCTTGGCTAAGTACCCTAAGAACACTCGCAATCTTTATCATAGCTAACACATAAATTCTACATTGTCTAACAAAATCAATCGAAAAGACCTGATATTTATCTCCGAATTATTTGTTGAAGGTTGCCTAGGCTAAACACTGCAATCATTCAATCACAGGATTTGCTACATACAAGAAATCAGTAATCATCAAATAACCGGTACTCATCAAATATGATGATATATTGGAAACATTTTGAACAAATAAAAAGATAGAGAAAAGAAAAACCTCCCCTCCATTGTAGCTTAAGCTTACGTGCACATACAAGAATCATGGAGGGCCACTGAATTGATTTACGAGCCAGGTAAAGAAGAATTAGATGTACTATTGGGTACACATTTAGGGGCAGCCTGCTGATAACAAATCAAAAAGTAATTTGGTTGGTACCCAGAAATGGTTTTCTTCATTGGATCGAATGATGACGTGTAAATTGAAACTTCTCCATTTACTTGCTCTGTGGCTTGTTCTTCGCTGAACCCCACAACAGAGAGAGGCAGGATGTTGTTCAGCAAAAATAATATACTTGTTATACATTCAACCAACGAACTTTTTCAATTGATTTTGTTAGACAATATAGGATTTATGTGTTAGCTTTGATAAAGATTGTGAGTGTTCTTAGCATACTTAGCCAAGAACACTGAGATGAAGAAGATTGGAAATCGGTTAATTTGATTAGTTTAGTGGGTTGGGTTCTGGTTCGGGTTAAAAAAGAAATTGGATAATTTCAATTAAAATCGGATAATTTCAATTGATTTGGGGGTTTTCGTCCAAGGAGGGTATATTTTTTGTTAAGTTTATTGACGGCAGAGGTAAAAATAACTTGTTTTTAATGATTAGGGTAAAGTAAATCAATAAAACAAAGTTGAGGGGTAATTTTAACCCTTTTTCCTTAATTTAATTAATATATACTAATTTAAATTACACCATTTCCAATTAGAGTATGAGCAATACAAACCTTTAGATGTTTGTTCCTCTTTTCTTTTTCAGTAGCAATATCTTGTTTTCCTTGGAATGCTGCCAATTAACCCTACTTCCATTGTCACCCCTCTCAAGTTCTCCATTGTCACATTCTCATTTCCTCATTCGAACACCATCTCTATTCGTTGCAACGCCGCCTCTGATCCATCCTCCTCCTCTTCCTCTTTCAACTTCGTCGGTGCTGCTGATGCCGCTTCCGCCGGCAGAATTTCCAAAAAATCTCTAGGCACTTCTCCGGTGGAGAAGCGAACGGCGAGTAACACCAAAAATACAAAAATTAATGCCTGGGAAAAGCCTTGGTCGCGCAACCGAGAAAGCTACTTGGCCGATGATAGTGAACCTCTTCCTCTTCCCATGACTTATCCTGACATTTCTCCTGTTTCGCCCGACGAAATTGACCGTCGCCTTCACTGTGATCCCCAAATACAGGTCTTCATTTTGCTTTGTACTTTATATTTATTTGCCTTATTTTAGTCTAATGAGAAGAAATCACCCGGTTTTTTTCCCTTTTTTTTATGCTGAGATTAATTTGAACCTGGTCTTCCATGATCCATTCAAGTTAGCAGGCTGCGCCTTTGGGTGAAACTAAAAATAGTGAACTATGATAAATATTAGACCCAAACTAGTTTGACATTGCAGCGTATTGATTAGTTGTCAATTTGAGTGAAGTGCACAGTTAGATTACCCAATAACAGTATGGTTTATCTGGTTGTTCTAGTTCAGACTATTGAGTTCTGAACTCAGACTATTGAGTTCTGAACTAACTTTCGGTTTTGTAATTTAAGTTCTTTTATGTATAAAATGGACTTTTTGGAACATTAATGCTTGTGTAGGGACTAAAGGAAAACATCTTCTGTAGAACAAAAGAACTACCTTTTGAGGCTTATATTGCAGTGCAGTTCAACATTTTGTCTCAACCCCAGTCCCCAAGGCTTTTGGTCGAGTGGTAAGAGCGTAGCATGTAGGGGTGTGCACTATTTGGATTAAACCGAAAAACCAAACCAAATCAAACCGAATTATAATTTGGATTGGTTTTTTGGATTTGTGGTTTGGTTTTGGATTTATAAATTACTTTGTTTGGTTTTTTGGTTTGGTTTCGGATTTAGAAAAATGAAAACCGAAAAACCGAAAAAAACCGAATTATATATATATATATAAATAGATTAATAATTACACATATAATATTTAGGTTTACTATGTAGGCCGTAGGGTACTAATAATTCAGTATTGTTGTAATATTTAGGCCCATATCAAATTACTGCCATCCTATTTCACTAAATTTTAGGCATTAGGTTTTACATTATAACTATAAATATCAATATCACATATTACTTGCACTTTCATGACAAAAAAATTAGCAGAACTAGAATTAGTACTTTTCCTTATATGAAATTTTTATTTTTTAAGCATGCAAATATAACTTTGATTATGTTATTAATTAGTTATGAAATAAGTTATAACCGAATAGCCAAACCGAAAAAAACCAAACCGAAAAGAGAAAAACCGAACCGAACCAATTTTTTTTTGGTTCGGATTGGGTTATACTTTTTCAAACCGAAAACCGAAAAACCCAAACCGAATAACACAAAACCGAACCGAAAAATCGAATGCACACCCCTCACTAGCATGTGATGTGTGGGTTAGGCACACGTCATAAACATAGACAAAAGCTTGGTATTTAAGTGGACAATGATAAAGGGGCGGGCCAATCATCAAGTTTCAAACCGTTTGCCAATGACCCTCGGGGATTTCTTGGTTACCAAAACAAGAAAAAGAAAAAGATCAGCACTTTGTCTGGTATCTTGTGGCACAAAGTTATTTATAGAGTTATTGACCATGATTGGTCAGTATACAGCCTAATCTGTTTCAAATTTTATCCACCACTAGACTACTAATAATATTGACAGGAATGAGTATGCTATTTGTTATCACAGGGTAATATCTTTGTCTACGTAAAGAAGATGTTTACAAGAGAACGCTAAAGATATTCACTGGTCTAGGTTTGTCATTTTTCTTTGGTCATTCTTATTTTTTGATGAAAGCCCTTTGGTCATTATTGCTACTTCAGGATTGCAAGGAAGTCGTCTATGAGTGGACTGGGAAATGTCGGAGTTGCCAAGGAACGGGATTTGTAAGTTACTACAACAAACGAGGGAAGGACACCATCTGTAAATGCATACCTTGCCTTGGAATCGGTACAAACACCTTACTCTTATTTCCTGTGTGCATTATATTTTCATGATCATTATTTGCCTTCTCTGTTTTTCTTTACTTTGAAAAGCGTGGAATGCATACTCAGTCATTCAAGGCTTCTTTGTATACAGTAGTATGCAGGAAGCTTTATATTCTTATGTAGTATAAATTGTGAAAAGTACCTAAATATTAATTTCACGTCTATAAAAGCAGATGCATTAAAATGATGTTAACTTACCGTGTCTGAATACAATAACAACCACGTCTCAATTCCAAGCAAGTTGGGGGTGACTACAGTGGTGTAGCCAGAAATTTCTTCAAGAGTCTTCAAATTTTAAAGAAGTCAATAAAAAATATTGATGAATGGGTGCCCAAAATTTCTTAGTCAAACTACACAATATTTAGCTAAACCATAAAAATAGTGTAATAAACCTACAATTTTGTAACTAAAACTAACATGAGAGGTCAAACAAAAAATTCTACAATAGACATTCAATCGAAATTTATCATCACAATTGTATTTGATAAAATTTCATCTTTTTGAGTGTATTTATAATTATATACTCATTATAAATTAGTGTTCAGGGAAGCGTGAAGCGGAAAAAAGCGACAATGCACTGCTTTGGTTAAAGCGTGAAACACAATTTCTAAAGAAAAACAACCAAAATAAATAGAGACAATATATATAAGCAGAAGTTCTTATTAAAAGCTAGAAGATAGATATCGAAAAATCCTCCATAGATCATTGGACAAACAAATCAAATTTAATAATCTTTCAACATCTATTTCTTGTTCTTCTGAACTCTACTCTACTTTTACAAGATTGACAAAATCTTATATTTCTCTTTTATCATTGTATTGTTCATCATCTTCAACTTCATCAACACGGCTTGAAGTAGCTATCTCTTTTCCCCTCTTATGTAAACTTGAAGTGTTTTCTCTCAAACCATAACAGTTCTCCTCAACTCTTGCCCCAGCAACAATACCCCAAGTGAAATTAGAATCTTTCTCAAAATTGCTTCATCTTCAAGACTTCAACATTCTCAACTCTAGTTAGCCATTCAATGACATCATCAGTATTGTCCAAGCTAATTGGACCAATTTCATTGCAAGTGTTGTCCCCGATGCTCTATGTTCTATTATATTTTATGAACACCATGTCATGTGGAGCTTTAGTGTTAGTCGATTCTTCTTCTTGGAATGAATCTAGAAACAAATATAGCAAGTAATTAGTAGGAATTTTTTTTTTTGAGACAAAGTAATTAGTAGGAATTAAGACAATTGTGATATAATATTGTTACCTCAATATACTAAATTTTGCTCGTAGTTCTTACATACTTAAATATGCTCCAATTTCTCACGCCCAGATAAGCTACAAGTTAGACATAATTTAATGGCAATCTCTTGTAACTCTGGAGTTTCTAAACCACAAAGCCTCCACCATTCAATTGTTAAAGTAGAACAACTGACACTAACTTCATGATAAGAGGGAGGCTTCATTTCTGGACCACATTGGCCTATGACCTCAATGAATTCTCTAAAATTGTTGGAATAATTGGCATAATTGAGTGGGAGCCCTACTTCGTACATCCATTGTAAAAAGGTCGCAACTATACGTTCCGTCAAAACTCTCTTGGCCATATCTTGCAAATTCTTTTTACCAAGAAGTGACCATCTATAGGACCTTTTCTACTAATGATTCGTAACTTAAAGAGACTTGCATTTGTAATTGTTTTTGTGATTTTGAAGGAAATGACAATAAACAACCTCATCTTTCATTTCTAAATCTTTATCACGATTAGTCACATTCAGTTTAAATATAGCCTTGACGTTTTAGCTCTTTTTTTCCATGAACATATTTTTTAATTTCTCCCCTCACAATTTCTGGACATTTTGTACACTATGCGACATTCCTAAAAGACTCAATTAGATGTTGTTTGTGACGAAAGATTCAACCTCGAGTTATCTTGTCACGAGACAAACATATAAATTGCGACCCTATTGGTCTCACTTAATATTTTCTCATAGTTCCTAGTCGGTCACCCATTTTAATAGTTGGTAAGATTTAAGAAAAATCAAGTGAAACCAATGAGACCACAATTATATGTTTGTTTTTGTGATAAAGTAACTCAGACACACTCTTTCGTCACAAACACCATCTTATTGGGTCTTCTAAGGATGCCTCAAAGTCTGAAATTTTCGTAGATTGTGAGGGATAAATTAAAAAATATGTCGATGATAAAAGCACCTAAAACGTCATGCTTTATTGCAACCGAATGTGGCTAATCTTGGTGATGATGAAGAAATGGAAGGAAGATGAAACAGTTGATTTGTCACTTCTTTCAATATCACAAAAATAATCATTAAATGCAACAATCTTTTCAAGTTATGGATCAATCGCTAGAAATGAACATTGAGGATGACGAAATAGAAGGTTTATTACCTGCTTCAACATTTTCACCTGCATTATTGGTAACAACATTTTCTGCTCCAATCATCTTAATAGTGTTCCGAACCCATAAAATATTTTGATAGAATCAGTAAACGAGTCGCTCACATCAATGGATTCAACAAATAGTTTCCTTTTGGAGAATTCACCAACACGTCAATGATCATTTTTACATTTCTTGTAGTCCATTTATCCAACATAATGGAACATATGAACTTGTTCCATTTTCCCATTGATCCTCCATAACTTTTTTGTCTCTTCCACTTCTTTGTTTAGATAATTGACACTAATTTCATGAAAAACAGGAGTCTTCATTCTTGGACCACATTGGCCGACAACCTCTATGAATGCTCTAGAAATGGCGATATAATTGGCACAACTGAGGGGGAGCCCTGCTTCGTACATCCATTGTAAAAAGGTTGCAACTATATGTCAAAACTCTCTTGGCCATATCTTGCAAATTCCTTTTACCAAGAATTGACAATCTATAGGTCCTTTTCTACTAATGATCCATAGCTAAAAGAGATTGTTACATTTGTAATTGTTTCTGTGATTTTGAAGGAAATGACAAATAAACAACCTCATCTTTCATTTCTTCATCTTCATCAAGATTAGTCACATTCAGTTTAAATATAGCCTTGACGTTTAAGCTCTTTTTTTTATCAACATATTTTTTAATTTCTTCCCTCACAATATCCAAACATTTTGTACACTTTGCGACATTCCTAAAAGACCCAATAAGATATTGTTTGTGACGAAAGATTCAACCTCGAGTTATCTTGTGACAAGACAAACATATAATTGCGACCCTATTGGTCTCACTTAATATTTTCTCATAGTTCCTAGTCGGTCACCCATTTTAATTGTTGGTAAGATTTAAGAAAAATCAAGTGAAACCAATAGGACCACAATTATATGTTTGTTTTGTGATAAAATAACTCAGACACTCTTTCGTCACAAACACCATCTTATTGGGTCTTCTAAGGATGTCTCAAAATGTGAAATTTTCGTAGATTGTGAGGGAGAAATTAAAAAATGTGTCTATGAAAATAGGACGCAAAGTGTCATGCTTTATTTCAACCGAATGTGGCTAATCTTGGTGATGATGAAGAAATGGAGGGAAGGTGAAACGGTTTTTTTGTCACTTCTTTCAATATCACACAAAAACAATCATTAAATGCAACAATCTTTTCAAGTTATGGATCAATCGATAGAAATGAACATTGAGGATGACGAAATAGAAAGTTTATTACCTGCTTTAACATTTTCACCTGCATTTTTGGTAACAACATTTTGTGCTTCAATCATCTTAATAGTGTTCCGAACCCATAAAATATTTTGATAGAATTAGTAGCCGAGTCGTTCGCATCAATCAATTCAACAAATAGTTTCCTTTTGGAGAATTCACCAACACGTCAATGATCATTTTTTCAACGGAAAAGGGTCATATTTTCCCTTGTACCCTTAGAAAAGGGTCATATTTACCCTTCGTTATACTTTTTTTGATATATTTGCCCCTACCATCCTACTTTTTGCCCTTGTACAGTTAACTTATCATGACACCATTTTTATAAGCCTATGTGGCGCCTACGTGGCTCCATGTGTATATACATTTATTATAATAAAAAAATTACTTTCTATTTAGTATTATATTTGACCCATTTAGTAAAATTCGACCCAACCATTAACCCGATTCTAATATCCACTCTCATATCACTTTACCCATTAAAACAGAGATAATACAGAGACAACGGTCTTCAGTTTTCTCCCGTCGTTCGTAGTATCTCAGAAGAAGTCCCAGAGAAAAGATCGTTGAGAAGCAAAACTGTGTGTCGAAATAAGCATGTCAATTAGCATGCGAAAAGAAAAAATACAGAGACAACTTAGATTGAAGGCTTCGATACAGAGAGGAGTCATTCATGTCGTGATTCTGCTAATTGGTCGGGTTTCTTGTCTGTCGCTTTAGTTTTACATCTTTAGTTACCGAGTAAGCGAGAGTGAGAAGTTTGAATTTTGATGCAGTTAAGAATTGTGGTGGACAGTGAGAGTGAAGTGGATTTGCTGGTACAGACTCGGCATCTCCGTGATATTGTCGTCCTTGTCATCCGAGGTCTTGCACAAAGGTTTAGCAACACCTCAATCAATTCCCTTCTTGAGATAGAGACCTAGTAACATATCATGTTCTTTTTTGTGTACATTAGTTGGTTTTTTCTGTCTCTAACTCCAGTAGTTTGGTGTTGGTTTTTGTGATTTTGTATTCTGTTTTTTGGTGAGGTATTTAGTTTCATCTGCTATGCATTTTGCTTCTTCCATTAGCTTCTTATTATGCTTATGCAAGTTAGCTTGGTATTGTTTATGTAAATATGACATATCTTTGTGCATGAAAATACAAAAGAAATACCGATTTGTGTATGATAGTTCACAAAAAAATTAGTGTAATTTATTCATATTGAATGTTCAACTTCAGCATTACTAGCAAGATGTGTCTTGTGTCCAATGTACAATACATGATAATGTGATTATGGGAAACTTTACTAGCTATTACAAGAAAGC